TTCCGCTGCCGCTCCGCACCCACCAGGAAGGTGGGCGAGCGCAGCATGCCATCCGCCATGGCCGGCTGGCGCACGGCCGCGGCCGGAGGTTTTTTGGAGCCAAAATGGCTTTGACCATGTTGGAAACGCTTGGAGTTGGAGGAGAACACCAGGAAAAGTGATTTTCGATTTTGGGGGGCATATTCCGTGTCCTGAGAGTTTTGCACTGCAAGTTATTTCCGATTCTTTCACCTTGGTTTCACTTGGATGATGATGCTTTGGCAGAAGTATCCCAAACAAAAACGATTGACGCCGTTGTGGTGATGCCATTGGATCTGCGTTTCCCCAAGCCACCCTTTGGACCTCAAGGACGTGTAGCTGTAGGTCCCATCCAGCCATGGCAGCGAAGCGCTCACAGATTGCATGGGGCCCCAATGATGGGTTCCCCAATTGCTGGTTGCCTTGAACAGTGGCTGTTAGCGCCTTGGCTATCTGAAGAGTGGCACCCCCACTGGGCCTTCAATGGCAGGCACTTTGTATGACAATAGCTGTGGCTTCAGCAACTTAGATGGGTCTTGGAGTCGTGGATTGTCTAATGTGGAAACTGCAGCTGTGCAGCAATACCGAACCCATGCAAATTGATCCTCTCGTGCATGGAAGTGATCTTTCTCAATGATATGCCAAGAGAATCTTGCTCTTTATTTCAAAAAGTCCTGAGAACGAGGACCGTGGCAGTGTGATGGAATAGGGCAGAACAAATGCCATTGGTACATCCCAAGTACCAAAAATTGCCAAAATGTGTGGCTTCATGGGTTGCTCCAAAAATGGCAGGAGTGGACCGGGTGCCCGGGCAATGGTCGCAGCGGGCGTCCAACACCTCCCGGGGCAAAATTCTCCCAGCTTTGCAACCAAGCAGCAGTAAAGGGTTCAGGTTCCAAGGTCAGGGTTCCAGATTTCCATTCCGGTTTTGCGTGTTTTGCATCCGTTGATGCACCAGTCCCAAAATGTCCGAAATGGGAGAACGCGTAAGGTCCACGGTGTCCATTCTCGGACAATTCTCTACGTGGAAGGTCCGATTTCATGTTCGATTGGGACTCCAAGCTATGCAGACGTGCCGGTGTGTCTGAAAGTTGGCGTTCTCCCCGAAAATTTGATGCTCCCTCCATAGGATTTTGGGTTCCATATGTAGGGACATCCCCATCACTCTGAGTTCCACGCGAGGAGGTCGGACCATGGCTCTGAACCGGCGGCTGTTTCTGTTCCACGCTGAGCCGTACCGGCTGCGAACACACGCAGCAGATGCAATCTGCCTCCACCTGTCGTTCTGCAGCAGAGTGGAAAATATATGGTTCAGAAATCATGAAATGTCCCAGTTGAACATCACCCAGGCAGGAGAGATGATCTCCGGTCAAAGCTCCGCATCCTTTGACCACCTGTGAGCTGAACACTTTGCAGCTTGCAAGTGGCATCCTCAGCTGCAGAGACTTAAGATCTGTCAGGATGAGCCCATTTGAAACTGCAACAGTTCTAGGTAAATCGTGCCAAGAGACCTTTGGGCTGCACGCAACAGCAGGTCATTGAAAGCCTTGGTTGAAACTAAAAGATTCAAAATTGTGAAGCCCGAAGGTTCACTGGGGTTGCTTCAGGGTCCCAGGGCATTTTATGTTTTGCCATGGGTCCTGTGGAATTTAAACCAATTCTGGCAAGAATTTGGCTGAGTTTGCTGAAAATCCCGGTTCTGTCATTTCGGCTTGACACCGCCCTCAACCCCTGGTTTCCACTCAATTCTTCCCATTCTTCCCTCAACGTGAAAAAGGTGAAACCAAAATTTCAGCCAAGAAGCCGAGCGAAGCCTGGCGCGATAGGCAGAGGCCAACGTGTACTCCAGAAGGCACGCAGCGCCCCTGCTCACCGAGGATGTGGGATCAATGCACCAACGATGATGGGGGTGAAATAAAACGTTCAACTGCAGGGGGTGCTCCAAAAAGGTCATAACTAATGTGCGACTAAAATGGTTGTGCGACTAAAATGGTATCCAAAAAATACCATCCTGATTTGAGAATGAAAATGATACCCATGATCCCATGATTCTTGATGGACATGTAACATGATTACCATCATTTTGGGATGTTCTTTGATAATCTTCATGATCCCTGACAACCAGTGGACACCCCCCCCTTCTGGATGGTTGTTTCCAAGTCAGCTCGTCAGCTCGCCTGTCCAAGCGCCACTTCAGCAGACTCAATCCATCCTGACCAATCCCCTCAGCGGAATCCAGTGAAAGGCTATTAAGGTGTGTCTGAAAATGGGGATGCCGTCGGAGATAATGATGATGAACAATTGGATTTGGGGGCACCCTATTCTCAAACAAACCCATATCTATAAATATATATATATATATGTATATACATCATCTTTAGTGCCCAACCAAAAGCAGATCCAGCTGCTTTATGTCATCATTCACCCACATGAATTGGAACAATGATGGATTTTTGCTTCTGGTTCCCCTTCTGAACCATCATGCCATGGTGACATCATGGCAGAATTACGCTTAGTCCATCATGCTGCTTGCATGTCCCCAGAGCCCCTTCCATCAAATCCATGTTCCCTGCCCCACATCATCTATGTATTAGTATGCACTATGCTTGTCCACATTTGGTAACCTTTTGAAGGGAACTATAAATCTAATGTAGACGTAGACTGTATATAAACATACAATACCAATGCCATATCAGCTACTCTCCAGCACCATAGCATGATACAGTGCCTCATCAAGCACGGGGCTGTGAACCTGCCACAAGGCTCCCATGTTGGCAACGTGTGAAAAAAGAAACTACCTATTAATTGAATTTGTGGTCCACTCCGGTGTTTAAAAAGTCTTTTTTTTGAGAACAACCTTTGCAGCAACAGAACAGGCCTCGTTTTTCACGCCGCTGCAGCGATATGCAAAGTCTGCCTGGGACTTATGCGAACGGCGGATGGGGCGACAAGCTACTCCTAGTGAAAATGCCCCCCAATCCAGCAGAAGCGAAACTTCAAGAAGATTGGGGGAGGTGCCCTGTCCTTCTTGTAGGAAGACCGGAAAAATCTTATGAGTTACGGCTACATTAAAACCAAATATCTCTATATAGATATACCTAGCACTGCAGCCAGCTATCTATCATGATCCAACCTGTTCTCCGTGAATTCGCGTTGGTTATCGGCTGCTTTGGCCTTCTGCTACGCAACTCCACAGTTGTGATTCTCCTTCAAACGTCTCAGATATCAGATTCTGCCATCTCCTTCAAACCTCTTCGATCATCTTAGAAAGTCTTAGATCTTTGAATTCGTACGAAGCTTCTTCGCAACCGCTTCCGCCATCTGCATGGTTCCAGCCTTGCCCCCTAAATCCGGAGTGGTTTCGCCCTCACGGATGGTCGCCAAGGCAGCCTCCAGGCGTCTGGCCGCTTCCACCTCCCCCAAGTGGTCCAGCATCATCGAAGCGGACAACAACATGGAGGTTGGATTCACAATCCCCTTGCCTGCGCCATCCAACCCCAAGCCACCAGAATGCAATCAAACCGAAGTCAAACCGAATTAAACTCAAACACCTTGAAGTGATTCTTGAAATATCACACAACATCAACAAATACAATGATATATATATATATGTATATGTCTGATATATGTGTATATATATATATACATGTAATAAATATATATATATATATATGTAATATATATATATATATGTGTGTGATATATATGTAATATATATATATGTAATATATATATATGTAATATATATATAGTTTGTAATATATATATATGGTTTGTAATATACATATACATATAATATGTAAAATATATAAATATGTAATATATATATGTAATATATATAATATTATATATGTAATATATATATATATATGTAATATATTTTTATATATATATATGTAATATATATATATATGTGTGTGTGTGTAATTTAAATATATATATATATACATATGTGTATATAAAGAAAATATAAAGAAAGACGATCCCTGGCATGGCCTGCAATGTCTGGCGCACTGCCATGCGCCGGCTCAAAGATGGCTACCCCTTGGTCTCCATACAGCGCTGATGGTGCCAAGCCAAGGCCCCCAACCAAGCCAGCCGCCAGGTCGGAGACTAAGTCACCATACAAATTCTCACATAAAATCACATCCCACCGGCCTGAGAAATCAGGGAATGGAAAAGGATGTTCGAAAAGGAAGGAAATTATGCTGTAAAAGAGGCAAAATGTATCAAAATGCTGGCAAATCTGTTTGCAAAACTGGTTGTACTTAAACCACCGCCCTCTCTTAGTCCGATAGCTCCTGGATGCATGACCATAGCAGTTAGCAAAGAATCGCAGAGTTGCTCAGTGTACTGGATCTGAGGATAGGCTGCTGAAACCTCCCTGCAACAGTTCAAGAACAAGGTGTCTGAGAGTCGCAGCACATTGGCCTTATGCGCAACCTGAAATGATCCAGGTGATAAGGGGGTCCCACCCCAAAAATGTGCATATAATATTCAGTGTGCAAACGGATGATGCTAATTGATGTTTGATATTCGTACTGTTCATACAGGTGCCATACCTCATATCTCTCTGTACATAATTACATACATCATATTTCTAACCATGCATAATCATAAAAATAAACATAATTATAATACAAATAATAGCATTGGCATTAACAATAATAATAATAATAGTTACCAGTAGTACCGCACAAGGTGGTGGCGGAAGTTTCAAAAATAGGAAACCTATAGGAGAGCTTGGTTGTTGTGAATCACGAATGGCAGGGCGAATCCACTGATGGACCGAAAGATGGTTGGAGTTGTGTTTTTTGAAGCGGCTGCAATGGTTGCAGTGGCCACCTCTTCCTCAACTGCTTGATGTAGTGTGGTGTGGTGTAGCGCAGTTGTAGTCATGAACTTCCACACTACCCCGGGCAGTACTACCCTAAGAGAATTTTAGATAGTAAATAAGAAAACGGGTTTGTATCCCCTGATTTTTCAAGAAATAATTAGTAGCCTAATAAGGAAAATGGGGTGGATACAAACCAAAACTAATTAGTAGCCTAATAAGAATTGATTTTGGCATTTTGTATAAAACTTATTAGCATGCTAATAAGGAAAAAAATCCTTATTAGCATGCTAATAAGATTTATACAACTTCTTTGTATAAAATCTTATTAAGGGCCTAATAAGGATTTGTTTCCTTAATAGATGCCTAATAAGATTTTACACAAAATTGACGGGGTATATTTTTGTATAAAATTTTATTAGGGTCCTAATAAGGAATTTTTGCCTTAATAGATGCCTAATAAGATTTTATACAAAATTGACAGGGATGATTTTTGTATAAAATCTTATTAGGGTCCTAATAAGATTTGTGGCCTTAATAGATGCCTAATAAGATTTTATACAAACTTGACGGGTATGATTTGTGTATAACAGCTTTTTAGGGTCCTAATAAGATTTTATACAACATTGTGGATATCAACTATAGTGTTTGCCCTTTTTTATTTTTGTTACAAAAGGAGTTTTTCTTTACCATTTTACATTTTTGTTGTATGTTTGTTTTCCTCTGTTGTGATCCCCTGTTGTCTCTCCCCAGTTGTGTCTCCCCTTTCCTTCCCCATTGAACCTCCACTTTACAAATGAAAACAAGAAATTGCAAAAAAAATACTGAAAATACACATACCAAAACATTTAAAGTATATTTAAAAAAAATCTATACTTCAAGATGTAGAAAAGCTTCAAAAGCTTCGAGTTTAAAATTTATAAAAGTGACATTTCTCATTTTGCATCATTTTCCCGTTGTGGTTCCCTGTTGTAACTCCCTGTTGTGCTCAGCCATGGCTCCCCAGCTCCGTAGCTCCGTGCCCAAAACGGTGACATGTCCTCCGGGTCCTCGGCAGACCTCGGCCTGGCAGGCTCTCGGCAGAGCACAACAGGGAGACACAACGGGAGAAGAAGAACGGGAAAATGATGCAAAATGAGAAATGTCACTTTTATAAATTAAAAAAAAGAATTTCTATGAATAAATTATGCCCACAATGAGGTTTAAAGCATTCAGTGGGTCATTCTCAAGGTATTGGAATGAAATTTTGAAAGTTTTTTTTTTCAAACCATTTTTTGTCAAAATATTTTGAAAAATGAGATTTCTATTCATAAATTCAATCCACAATGAGGTTTAAAACATTCAGTGGGTCATTCTCAAGGTATTGGAATGAAATTTTGAAAGTTTTTTTTTCAAACCATTTTTTGTCAAAATATTTTGAAAAATGAGATTTCTATTCATAAATTCAATCCACAATGAGGTTTAAAGCATTCAGTGGGTCATTCTCAAGGTATTGGAATGAAATTTTGAAAGTTTTTTTTTCAAACCATTTTTTGTCAAAATATTTTGAAAAATGAGATTTCTATTCATAAATTCAATCCACAATGAGGTTTAAAACATTCAGTGGGTCATTCTCAAGGTATTGGAATGAAATTTTGAAAGTTTTTTTTCAAACCATTTTTTGTCAAAATATTTTGAAAAATGAGATTTCTATTCATAAATTCAATCCACAATGAGGTTTAAAACATTCAGTGGGTCATTCTCAAGGTATTGGAATGAAATTTTGAAAGTTTTTTTTCAGACCATTTTTTGTCAAAATATTTTGAAAAATGAGATTTCTATTCATAAATTCAATCCACAATGAGGTTTAAAACATTCAGTGGGTCATTCTCAAGGTATTGGAATGAATTTTTGAAAGTTTTTTTTTTCAAACCATTTTTTGTCAAAATATTTTGAAAAATGAGATTTCTATTCATAAATTCAATCCACAATGAGGTTTAAAACATTCAGTGGGTCATTCTCAAGGTATTGGAATGAAATTTTGATTTATTTTTTTTTCAAACCATTTTTTGTCAAAATATTTTGAAAAATGAGATTTCTATTCATAAATTCAATCCACAATGAGGTTTAAAACATTCAGTGGGTCATTCTCAAGGTATTGGAATGAAATTTTGATTTTGTTTTCGATTTTTTTTGTCAAAATATGTTGAAAAATGAAATTTCTATCCATAAATTCAATCCACAATGAGGTTTAAAACATTCAGTGGGTCATTCTCAAGGTATTGGAATGGAATTTTGATTTTGTTTTCGATTTTTTTTGTCAAAATATGTTGAAAAATGAAATTTCTATCCATAAATTCAATCCACAATGAGGTTTAAAACATTCAGTGGGTCATTCTCAAGGTATTGGAATGGAATTTTGATTTTGTTTTCGATTTTTTTTGTCAAAATATGTTGAAAAATGAAATTTCTATCCATAAATTCAATCCACAATGAGGTTTAAAACATTCAGTGGGTCATTCTCAAGGTATTGGAATGAAATTTTGATTTTGTTTTCGATTTTTTTTGTCAAAACATGTTGAAAAATGAAATTTCTATCCATAAATTCAATCCACAATGAGGTTTAAAACATTCAGTGGGTCATTCTCAAGGTATTGGAATGAAATTTT